TCTGGTTTAACATCCAGATCTACATGGCCTTATGATGTAGACTTGAACTATTGGTTTGTTTCTTTTTATAGCCCTTGTCTTGCAGGAAATTTTGTTTAGCTTTTTCCGAGGCTTTGTCCATTCTGGGGATTTCATTGCCCAGTTCCTGGATACTTTTTTCAGAGATTATTCCTGGTACACCAGAGGAGGTTCAGTTGTCTCTGATATCCTGATTGCACCATTTGGACAAACGGATCTGATCGGGTGACTATTTCATCATCTGGGCCTTCTTAGTCTTCATTAAGAATCCAGGATGGAGTCACAGTGGAACAAAGAGAAGTGGAAGCTTGCTCCACTGGATTCCAAGGGTATTTACTGGAAAATGGGAATTCATCTTGGGTAGGCCACTGTTTTATTATGACTGTAAAGACCTACTGCAATCAGCCCCAGTAGGTCTTTACATTCTCTTACTCCATGTCCATTTCATTAGCCAGAGTGATTATTGACCAGTGGTGCTTAGAGCATGAGGTTGGTTCTTAAGTGACCAAGTGACTTCCCAGCCTTGAAATCCAGCAAAACTTCTGTAGATCCCTAATATGCTAGTTGGATGAGCCTAGGTTTTATGATTTCACCATGCTTTTGCTTAAGTATAGCTCTAATTTTTTTCCTTTCTCTTGCATTATAAGAATGTATCTCAGTAAATTCTGGAGTGACTAACTGCTCTTGATCACCAAGTATTTTTATACCTATAGTTGTGGCCACCAGCAGAATATAAGTAGTTTTACTTTCTTGATAGTGTAGGTGAGTAAACAATAACCGTGATACACTTTCTTTAGTATTACAAGACCACACCTCCACACTGATGGAACTCATCAAGAGCCTCAACAACCATTTGCCCTCATTGTCACTGAAGACTTCAGTGACCAAGTCTGCTTCTGCCTGCTATACCTGGCCATAGGACCCATCTCTCTTTGTATCCACATAGGCATTGTGACCTTGTCTTTTGTTTTCAACACAAGGACTTACAATGTGTCTAAGTGGTTTTCGTTATATTTATTTATATTTGTTTTCCTTCTGACTTCCTGAGTTTTTTGGAGTACCATAGTACCATTTATAGTACCACAGAGAGTTCTCCTCTACCTCCTCCAAGTCAATTCCATAAGTATCTAAGCTTCTAAAGTCTGTCACAACTCATTATTTTTGCCCACTATTGAACTTCATATAAATGAATCATAGCTTATGGATTCTTTTTGATTCTGGTATTTTTGCTTTACATAATATTTTTGATATTCATTCATATGCTTGAATGTATATGTAGTTCACTGGTATTTATTGTAGTGTAGTATCTTTTTGTATGGATATACCATAGTGTATTTATCCATGCAACTATTAATGAGCATTTAGGTTGTTTTGGGTTTGGAGTATTATGAAAAATACTTCCGAAGAACATTCATGTCCAAATCTTTGTGTGGACTTAGGTTTTCATTTCTCTTGGCTAAATATCTAGGAGTAGAATTACTGGGTTATATGTTAATTTATTATTACACTTACAACAAAATGTCAAACTGCTTTCCAAAATAATTGTCATATTTTACATTCCAACCAACTGTGTATGAGAGTGACAGTTGTTCCTTATCCTCACTAATTGTTGTTATTGTCAGTCTTTTTCATTTTAGTCATTTGAGTGTGTACTGGTATCTCTTTGTGGTTTTAATTTGTCTTTCCCTGATAACTAATTATATTGGACAGTGTTTCATGTGATTATTGGACATTCATATGTCCCTTTTTTAAAGTGTCTGTTCAAATATCTTGTACACTTTTATGGGATTGTTTTTCTTTTTATTGTGTAGTTATAGCAATTCTTAATATACACGATATACAAGCTCTTTGCCAGATTTTTCTCCCAGTATGTGGCTTGACTCTGTATTTTCTTAATGATGTCTTTCAATGAGTCAGAGTTTTTAATTGGATGAAATCCACCTTATCATATTTTTTTTATGTATTACGCTACTTGTATCCTATCTATCCCAAGATTATGAAGCTTTCTCATAAGTGTTATTCTAGAAGTTTACTGATTTTTAGCTTTTATGTATATGTCTGTTATCCATTTTGAGTAATTTTTATAGGTTAAGGATCAGGGTATATTTTCCCCATATAGATAGTCTATTGTTCTAATGCCACTTGTTGAAAAGACTATCCTTTTCCCCTTGAATTACCTTGATACTTTTATTGAAAAACAATTTACCACATACTAAGTTGTGTTCCGTTGATCTGTGTATCTATCCTTGCACCAATTCCAGCTCTCCTTACCCTAGCTCATAAAATCAGGTAAAAGATATCCTCATCTTTTGTACTTCTTTATCAAGATAGATTTGGCTTTTTTAAGTCTTTGCATACCTATGCAAAATTTAAAATCAACTTTTCCATTTCTACCCCCACCAAAGAACACTTTGCTGGAATTTCGGGAGTTTTTGAATCTATAGATGAATTTGTGCACAATTGACATATTCATAATTTTGTGATTTTCCAACTATGAATATAGTATATTGTTCCATTTATTTACATGCCTTTAATTACTTAAATTTAATTCTAAGTATTTCATATTTTTTAATGTTATTATAGATTATTTACATATTTTAAAATCTCAATTTCCAGTGTTCTTTGCAGGCATATAGAAATAGGATTAAATCATGAAAGTTATTGATTCCTCCTTTAGCTAGTTTAAAAGTACTTTGAATGATTGATTCACACTTTGGAAAATTCTTGCAAAATGTCTAAATCAAAATTATTAAATAATCCCAATGAGTATATGAAAAGATATATGCTTCTTGAGTTTGTTCCAGAAATAGAGAAACATTTCAGTATTTTTCAGCCTATATCATTAAATTAACAAAGAGAAAAAAAATGATAAGATATTGAAGAACATTTTGATATTGAAGAACATTTGATATTGATATTTGATATTGATATTCAATTTGATATTGAATAATATTGAAGAACATTTGATAAAATTTGGACTACTAGGAGTAAAGGAATGTCCTTTTGATTTCTATAATTTCTCAATGATAAACCACAGCTGCCTATTTTACAAAATTCTGGCTTCCATCCCTCCAGTGATGGGATTCTATACCTAGACCACAAGTCATTAAAAGTCTATTTCTAAGCCTGGCATTTAGATAGATTTCCATTATACATTGAGTTTTGTCAAATCATACTCTCCACTCTAGGCTCTCTCTTTGATTTCAGCCTTTGGAAATTTCCCTTTTGTGTTATTTATTTTTGCTTTTTTCTCTCCAACATTAATATTTAGTGTGTGTTCAATCTTCTATCTTTACTAAATACTTTAGATAATTCTTTACTAAAATATTTTTTTGAAGCAGAGCACACCTCTTAATATTGAATTATGAAAATTGAAAAAAAGAATATTATCTGACTCCTGTAAATATAAAAATGTATTATATAGTAATAAAGTTTTGATATGCTTTAATAATACAATAACTGTGCAGTTAGTATAATTGAAGACATTGTATCTAATTTTATATAGAATATTACAAGATAATCCAGGTATTACAAAAAATCAGGAACAGATTATTATTCTATAAATGCAACTGATAAATTTAACTAGTCTTTTTGGAAAAAGATCCATTATTACAGCTTTTCTGCTAACATAATAGTCAAAACATTTGATGTAAAATAAAAATAAATAAATATATATATATATGACACTAACATTTTACACACACACTACACATTCACATTTTTACTGAGGTTAGGGTGGAAAAAAGTTTTATCCATAAACTCAAAGAGCAAATACACAAAAATGATGATAGTTTTCAGATTTCATAAAAGTTTTCCATTTCACAATATCACAACATCAAAAAATTGCCCCCAAAAAAGAACCTCACAAAAACAAAAATGAGTTTTCACAATAAACTGTAAAATGTAGTAACATATCTTAGTGGCTAGGCGTTCCTATCATTAATATAAACATGCTTACAAATAAAGGAAATAGAGGAATACCGCAACAGAAATATAGGCTTAGAAATATAAAATAACCCAGAATGTATAGATATGTAAACTGTTTTACACATTAATAATAAAGATAAAATTGAAAAAGATATGGACACAGTTATTTGTGCTTATCCACTTTACTAATTTTTTAAATATTACTCTAAGTCTTGTGAAACATAACTCCACTCTTGCATTGAATAGATAATTGTATATAAGGAGGGAAATGAGTGTATTATAAACAGCCCTTAATATTTTGTACACTATGACCTAATAACTTGTAGAATTAATCTTTAATATAAAATTTTATAGCTAAAAAATAATGCCAAAACATTTTCTTTGAAACATTATTTACAATAATAAAATGTTGTTATACTATAGAAACCTCTATTTTGTGACATCTGTAAATTGTTATATATTCCCAAAAAGATATCTTGAGGAGACTTGATAAGATGGAAAATTACTTATCATATAATAAATGAAAAAAATCTAAAAACTTGCAGCACGTGTTTACAAACACAAAGAAATTGCAGTACATTTTTAAGAGTTCAACTTCTTTAATATGAATCATGAATAATTTCATTGCTATATTGCTTTTCTATACTGAAAATATATTAAGTGATGTTAAAAATAAATACAGTAGTGAGGCCAGCCCGGTGGTATAGTGGTTAAGTTCGCGCAGTCTGCTTCAGACGCCTGGGACTCGCCAGTTCGGATCCTAAGTGTGGACCTATCCACCGCTCATCAAGCCATGCTGTGGCAGGGGTCCCACATATAAAGTAGTGAAAGATGGGCATAGAAGTTAACTCAGGGCCAATCCTTCCTCAGTAAAAAGAGGAGGATTGGCAGCGGATATTAGCGCAGGGCTAATCTTCTTCCAAAAAAATTGAATGAATAAACACAGTAGTAAAAATCATATTGTGATGTAATTAACTTAGAGACATACTTTAGTATATTTTGACAATAAATACAATTATTTATTTGATTGAAAATATGATTATATTTGCTTTTAGGAATGCAGTCATAAAAAATGCTGTCATCCTGAAAATTGTACTCTGATTGGAAATGCAGAGTGTGGCAGTGGAATATGCTGTGATAAAAAAACTTGTGAAGTAAGCTTTCAAACTATTACATTATTTTCTTTCATGAATTTTTTGTGTCCTTCTTCATTCACTTTTTTTACTTTTTGTTTTACACATCTTTCAATTACGTTACTTTATGTACCTGGTTCCAGAGTTGATTTCAGAATTCAGAGGATGTCCTTGCGTCTTTTTCAACCTCCTTTTTAGCTCTATCTCTGTATTGTTTCAGTCTCCACTAAGGCACATCCAGTGATTGCGTTCCATACCAACGTCAGATCACTTGGGTGATGAATTCCTCTTCGTCGTGCCTAAGCTGAGCTCTTCATGATCAAATGACTTATGAGAAGATTATACATAAGCCACTCAACACACACTTGACATGCAAGTTTGAATAAATAGACAGTAATAATTTTAAACAACCTCATTTTGAAAATAAGAAAAAAGGGATCCATGTTAAATAGGCAGCAGTATGTAGCATGACTAATATTGAAGCAAGCACTTCTGGCCCCGGGAGGGGATTGAATCCTGGATTTCTCCTGGGAAGTTCTCCGTTCAGTTTTCCTTTCTAGTCACATCTGAGTGGAGACTGGGTGAGATTTGTCTTCTGGCGGTTGCTTCATGGTAGCACGTCACCTTTTTTTGTCATTTTCAAAAGTCTATGACAAACATGAAAGCTGATTAGTTAGAGATTTTGACGCCAGATTTGTTTTTTCTCTGTCAAGGAGACCTCTCCTAACATTATTCTTCTTTGTTCTATGTGTGTTCTTTTTCACTCTATGGGCTAGTAATTAAAGCCAATGGCCATTTGTTTTCAAGGCTCATGAAGGTAGAGGCCAGCCTAGAATTTCTACTTTTTAGCAATAAATGACGTTGCTTTTCCCTTCACTAGAGCTCTCCTCTTGGCCTTTGTCTCCAAATCAGTTGGACTGAACAATAAGGCTTTTCTAAAGAGTCCATTGCCCGCTACCTACATCCCAAAGGATAGTGCTTTAAACCAGGGATAATTGCTGTATTTGGTGGAGTGAAAATTCACCGTACAAGTTTTTGGGGAGAGCTTCAGGGTGACAGCTAAGTGTGCTATGTTAGTTTACATTAATTTCATTACGTGTTATAGTATACAATTTGGCTTTGCTGTCATTTAAAGGCTCACTGTGTCTTACATTCAGCTCTCTTTCATAATTGGCCGTAAGTGTAAAGGGCTTCCTATTTTCTTCTGTCTACTTTCAATTAGGCTAGTTTCCACCAATGCTTGTCTGAAATTTAGTGATTTAATCCAGATTTTTTCTTCTGCACGTTCACTTTAGATAGACAGAAGTCCCAGTGCAATGATACGGAAGACAATATTTAACCAGCTGTTTTGCTGACACATAAAATAATTAACGTTTCTGACTAATACTCAGACATTCCTATATGTAATTTTAAAAATTGCAATTGTTACTGCGTAATACTGATTATGTATTGGTCAGTTGTGTGCTGATGATGAATGGCCAAGCAAATGAAGCTTATGAAGCTTAAGTAAAAGATGAGTCTAGCTTCATGCTCACTTGAATCTTTGTTTAAAACAAGTACAACAGGATTCTCATTCTAGTTACTTACTGGATATCCTTGCTTTTTGGTTGACAGTTCTCAAACAAGCTTTCTCCGCATGTAATAGAGATCGTTCATTGCAGCTCCTGGCTTTTCTAGTCCATAGTGTACAATATTTCAGAACAGTAGAGTAATCCTCTCTTTACCAGCGTCCATGTCAGTCTTTGATAGTGAAGGAAAGCCTGACTGATCCTGTAAAATTAAATTTCCCACCGCTGTGTCAATCACTGTGTCTAGGGAGAAGTGTTCTGATTATCATCTTGATTTAGAAGCAGATTCTTGAGATTTATCACCCATCATGGTGGAGGTGGGGTAGGTCCTGAAAGGAAAATTTCTTGAAATGCAGAAATGAACAAGATGTCCGATAAGCAATATTTTAGAGAGATGGTTAAGACAACATTTTACGAGTGTAGTTAGTCCCCAAGCATCAATAGTTGACAAACAAATATGCATAGCTTTATATCAGCTATTTTCATTTTATCTTGAAGTAAATATTCAGGATAACCACCTAATTTTAACTATCAGAGCTTTTGCTAGAGCCTTCGTTTAAATTGAGGTGAAATTCACTTAAAATTACCCATTTTCATGAACAATTCAGTGACATTTAGTACATTCACAACGTGCTACTACTACCCCTATATAGGTCCAAAACATGTTCATCAGCCAAACAAGAAACCCCCAACCTTTCAAGTGCTTGCTCTCCTTTCTCTCTTCTCCTCAGTCCCTGGCAACCACCAATCTGCATTCTGTCTTTATGGATTTACCCATTCTGAGGATTTCATATAAGTAGAACCATATAATATGTGACCTTTTGTGGCTGATTTTCGGACATTTCCGTTCTTTCCAATCTGTTTCACTAGAATGTTTAAGTAAATTCATAATTTAACTTTAAGTAGTTAAAATATAATAATAATGGAAATGATGGCTACACATATAATGCTTCTATGTAAATTCTTTACATTTTTGGTTTACTAATTTAAAAAGTATTGTTTTCTTTTGTCTCACAGATAATTGGAAGAGGAACTATCTGTAGGGAAAGCAAAGATCCGTGTGATTTTACAGAATATTGCAATGGAATAAGTGAATTTTGTGTACCTGATACAAAGGCTTTTGATTTAGAACCGTGCAATAATAAAACTGCCTTTTGCTATGGGGGAACATGCCGAGATCCAGATGTACAGTGTTTAGAGTTATTTGGAAAATGTAATAGTTGTATCTTTTTTCTGGGGTTCATTTTTAAACTATATTTTTCTAAAGTCAGTAATCCACCCTGTAGTCATAATAAAAAGTCTTGTTTGTGTAAATTCAAATTTGAAAATAAAATTGCAAATGAAAGCAACTTTGAGCTATGTGAAGAGGTAAAATAGGACTAATAAATATAAGACAAAATGAATTGGCTATTACTCAAATTTTAGGTGATTGGTGGAAAAGGAGTTGTATTCGAATTGTAGATAAAAGAGCAAATGACGTTTTGACTTCTTAATCACTTCTACATTTTGATACCTTTTTTTTTAAGTGGGTAGTTTTTAGTGCTTTTCTTTCTTGTATAGCCAGTAGATAACACCAAAAATTTATAGTAGATGACACTGACTGGATATCGCTGTTTTCTAGATATGTCTTTAGAAACTTACCGCACTTTTGATTTAAAATTTTTTTTTAAAATGAGTAATTGGAACTTTATTTATGTTTTCAGTTGCTAGAGGTTCTACTTATCTATGTACACAAGAAGTGAATTTTCAATCAGATGACTACGGAAACTGTAATAGGGGTCGTTGTAATTATAAGTACGTATTCAGAAAATTATACATTTTCCAAATGCATGTGTATGTATGTGTGTGTACAGCAAAGGGTCATTTACTAGAAATGAATGATGAACCCATATATACAGATGAATTTATATGTTGCACTTCATAAGATGGTATATGTTCTGAATAGCTTTGGTGTTATGATTTGAGTAACATTTTTAGTTGTCCTATTTTTAACCGTTACTTACCTAATATATTGTATCTTATATGGACATTTTTTTCTGCTGTATATTACTAGGCAAATCCATTGTGGAAAGATGGTTTGTCACTGGACACATTCACAGATAGTACCATCGACAACTTATGATATTCAGTATACTTTCCTTGGAGGCCATGTATGTATGTCAGCATTCATAAGAAATAGATCAGTATCTGTAGCCAACGATAGAACTTATGCAGTTGATGGCACTATTTGTGATGAGCAAAAGGTAAATAAAAGTTTTACTTGATTCTGTGTATGGTATGTGTGTATCTGAGCGTCTGTGTCTGTGTGTGTGTATGAATGAGAGAAAGAGAAAGTGAGGGAGAGAAACACCTTAAGATTTTTTATTTGTAATTAATGTTACACATTTTGGTTACCACTTTATGATCTTAAGATTCGAAGTTCCGAATTTCTGTTGGTCAAAGGAACAATTGCTTCACTATCTATTTTTTATTGTGAATTTTACTATAGATATTTAAGTTTATTTTCTCATTCTTGAAAATGTAAGCCTCTTCATTAGGACAAAATCTGGTCTGCAATAATTTGTGTTAAAAAAAAAGAATCAAATATACACCAAAAAAGTAGGTCAGAACAAGGTGAATAATAAGAAAACAAAAAATGCCAAGTATTTAGTCTCGCAGTAGTTTGCAAAGAGATTAGTTTGTAATGAAAGTGAAACATTTATTTGTTCATTAACTTACTCCTCTAATTCTTTCTCCAAAAATATAATATACTTGTTAAAAATGTAGCCCTCCCACAAGACACAATAATAAAACATAGTCTAAGCTTTAGTCATTTTTCTTTTTCTTAAAAATTTTGAGAATCATAAAAGATAAAGGATTTTTAAACTATTATTATTAAAAATTAGTTGACTAAAGAAAAAAGTACACAATTTCTCACATTTTAATTAAAATACTTTACAATGAGATATAACAGTTTAAGAAATGAAAAGTAAGAGGAAAATGGAAGTGAATAGTAAACTTATCTCAGAAGGGAATAGATATTCTCACATAAAAATAATGAAGTAATCTCAAAGGAATGTACTGGTGCTGACATTATAAAGTAATACATCATTCCTTCAAAGGTCATTTAAAACAAACTGAAAAAGGTTTTGTGGTAAATATGGCAGAGTAAATACATATATTTGTTAACTAATTTAATCATTCATTCATTAGAAAAAAGCATTAAAATGGTATATATGTGTGGTATAACATAGCAAAATAATCTGGTCTCTGTCCCTGGTTTCTGACACAGAGCTCCTAAACCCCTGGGAATCCCCTGAATGATAGGAATGTTTTTTGTTACTCATCTTCTTCCAATCAAACCTTAGTTTATGCTAATGAGGTGACTTAGGGTGGGGCTCCTAGAGAGTTTCAGGTGGAGCTGGTCACCAGAAGGACCAAATTATTAGAGTTGGAACTTTTAGCCCCACTCACAGACCTCCAGGAAGGGGAGTGGTGTGGCTGGAGATCAAACTCCATAAAAACTTTTGACCAATGAGATTCAGACAGCTTCTAAGTTGGTGAACACATCAATTTGCTGTGATGATGATGTGACCAGAGAGGACATGCAAGCTCTGAGTTCCCTCCCCTACAACATACCTTGGCCTACATCTCTTTCTGTTTGGCCGTTCCTGAGTTGTATCCTTTACAAGAAACCGGTAAACCTAAGTAAAGTGTTTTCTTGAGTTCTGTGAGCCAAATGAGCAGATTATCAAACCTGTGGAGAGGGCCATGGGAACCTTCTATTTACAGTCAGTTGGGCAGAAGTGTGGGTAGTCTGGGACTTGCATCTGATGTCAAAGTAGAGGCAATCTTGTGGGACTGAGCCCTTTAACTTGTGGGATCTGATTCTAATTCCAGGTAGATTGTGTCAGAATTGAGTTGAATTGAATTGTTGGACACCCGGGTGGCGTCAGAGAATATACTCCACAATATAAACGTATATCACAATATATATGTATGTTATGTATATGTGTGCACACATACACACACATAAAATACATGCACATCAATATGTATTAGTGCAAAAAAATCTCATGAAATTAAGCGTATGACTAAGGAACATGAAAATGTTCCACCTAACTTGTGATTCAATAAATACAAAGTAAATGAATATCCAGTTTTTGCTTTGGTGTTATCATTTGGGCATTGGAAACAATATTTGATGGTGAGAAGCATAGTTTATTATCATCCTGAAACAAGTTTAAATTAGCACAAACTTTCTGGAAAGTGATTTAGAAACATGTAAGGAGTCGAAGATAATAGCATACTTTTTAACCCGTTTCTAATGTAATAATGTTAAATTAACTTTAAGATATTAGGAAATATATATTGTTATAGAGCAATTATTATGTGAGTTATAATAGAGGAAAAAATCAGGACACATTAAATGCCAGTTATAGGTTGGTTACATAAATTACAGTATATCCAATCCTGTACAGTCACATGCCACATAATGATGCTTTGGTCAACAATGGGCTGCATATATGACAGTAGTCTCATAAGATTAGTACCGTATAGCCTAGCTATGTAGTAGGCTACACAGCCAATCACCTAACAACGTGTTTCTTGGAATGAATCCTTGTCGTTAAGCAATGCATGTCTGTATTTCTTTCCAAAATGACATTTGCAAATAATTTTCAGTGACATGGAAGTATATTTACAATATTACGGAGGATGACAAATCAGGGAAAAACTTGAGTTTCTACTGTTTGAATTGCACATGGAACTTCTGTGAGTTGCGATTTCTACTAAAACATAGATTGTGTCTTTGGTTTAAAGTTGTCTTGCTGGTCCTCCCCACGCCAAGATTGTAGCAACTCTGTGACTTTCTGTCTTAGTTATTATAAGTTTAAAACAGGTAAAAAAAATAAAGATTTTAGAAGAAGCCTTAGCATCAAGATACTGTGGCCTTAATAGCATTCCAAAGCATTTAAAACCTAGGAAGATCTAATCAAAGATATGCAAGACAACCTCTACATTGACAACTGCAAAGCGTTACTAGAGAATCAAAGAAGGTTTACATAAATGGAGGGATAAATCATACTCCTTAATTGGAAGACTTAATAATGTTAAGATGTCAATATTCTCAAAATCAATTGATAAATATGATGCTATCAAAAATAAAATTCCCAGGAGGACACTTTTGGGGGAGGGGATGTGTTGCTGTTGGAAACTGAAAAACTGATTTAAGGTTTATATGAAAATGAAAAGGGCTAAAAATACAAAATAGTCAGTGAAATTTTAAAGAGAAAATGGAAACTGGAAACTACTAAATATCAAGACATCGCAAAGTTAAGTAATTAAAACAATACAGAATGGGTAACAAGGATAAATTAAGTGACCTATAGACTAAAATATAAAACATTATTTTAGAGGCATTGCAGGTCAAAATGTTTTAATAAAGACCTCAGAGAAAACTTGGGAATAGTGTCTGGTGTACTCAAAAGATTTTTAAATGATAAAATTAATTTACATATAAAGTAAAATATTGATAAATGTATTATATTGTGATGAAAAATCACTGGATAAAGATTTGAGGTTCCAGAAGGACCTACTAGATACACTTTTCCCTATTCCTTCTAGATTGTATAGCTAAAAAGCCCTGGATATTATATGTAAAGCAAACATAAGAAGGCTCTGAAAGCTGGAGAGAGAAAGGCAAACTAGCCAGGGACCTCAGAACCCAAGGAACAACATAATAATGCGTTCCCTTTTCTTTTTGCCCCATGTATCCCAAACTGGGTGCCAGAGAAGCCAGAAACTCAGAAACACCAAATGTAGCTGACAAAAAGAAGTCACCAAGGAAATCTTGACTTCTTTAGCCAAAAGAACAGCCTAGCAAGAGAGTACACTGTGAAACAATAGCTGCTCTACTTCAGCCAAACAACACAAAAATACGCCACACACCTACCCTCCCCCCCCCACCCAAGAGTGGTATGTGTAGAGGCCCAGGGGAGAGCCTGTGCATCACTGACCTTTGCAGTAAGTAGGAGCATCTCTCATCCCAGGTTTTAGTGGAAGCTATACTTCCAGCCTTACCTGGCAATAATGAGTCAGTGGCCCCTTATCCCCCCTCCAGAGCTCTGACAGAGGAGATCTGCTAAAACGGAAGGTTTAAACAGGATTCAGAGTCTCACAACATAAAACTCAGAGTATGTAGGTTTCAATCACAAGTCACTCTTCATACTAAGAACTAGGAAAATCTCGACTTGAATGAGAAAAAACGATCAATAAACACTAACACCAAGATGGCACTGATATTAGAAATATCTTCAAAGATGTAAAGCACCCATCCTTAAGGTTTGAATGAGCAATTACAAACATGCTTGAAACTAATGAAACAATAGAAAGTTCCAGCAAAGAGATAGAAGATACAAAGAAAAACCAACTGGAAACTTTAGAACTGAAAAATACAATAAGCAATATATAAAACTCAGTGATGGGCTCAGGAGCAGATTGGAGAGGGTAGGGGAAAGCATCAGTGAAGCTGAAGAAAGATCACAGAAAATACTCAATCTGAACAATACAGAGAAAATAGACTGAAAAAAAATGAATAGAGCCCCAGGGACATGTGGGATTGAAACAAAAGATATAATATCCATGTCGTTGTCATCCTGGAATAGGAGAGAGAATTCAAGGATGGAAAAGTATTTGAGGAAATAATGCCTAGAAAGTTTCCAAATTTGGCAAAAGGCATAAACGCACGCATGCAAGGAGCCAAAAGAACATGGTGTAGAATGAACCCAGTGAAATCCACAGTAGGGTACAGCATAACAAAATTTCTAAAAATTAAAGACAAGAAAAAGAATCTTAAAAGTAGTGAGAGTGAAACATCTCACGTGCAGGAAAAACACAATGGCGATGACAACAATGGAAGTAAAACCATATGGGAACTAGGCACACAAATACCACAGAAGGTTGCCATGCTGGTTAAATTCATCTCTACCATCCCTTGCCATCCTTGAAGTCAGCAAATGTCTTGTGGGAAAATGAATAATGCACTTGAAAACCCTCTGGTTTTTCACATCAGCCCTATATGACCGCTAAAAGCTTTGCACATTACTCATTTCTCCAGCAGTGATCCTCTGCCTGGGCAAGTCTGATCATTCGCTCATGTCCAACTGGCCAATGTCCTCATGGAAGGAAAAGAAAGCAAGAAAGAAGTGAGGGAAGGGAGGATAGAGGGAGGCAGGGAAGGAAGGAAGGAAGGACAAAGGCTTTGACTTTCCCTCCTTTGTTCAGTAGGAGCTTTAAGCTGGCATGACTTTTTACTACCACACCTTTTCTAATAAAGAACCTAATTGGCCACTTTCTCTGTGTGACTGGGGTTTGTCACATGACAGTCTTCATTTTGGAAGCTGGCTTTTAGGCCATGGGACTTCCAGTAGTAATTGGATAGTGCCTATTCTAAAGGACGGACCACTTGAGAAGCCTGAATTTTGTAGTCACCATTAATTCAACTGCTTTAGGGCACAAAGTACCCTGAAGTACTAAAAGTACCCAAAGTACTAAATTTTCTGCTTTGGGATTAAAATGTTGTGTTGACTGCTTTTGGTAATTGAGAGAAAGCGAGAGGTGAGTAGCGGATATTGAGAGCTAAGTAGTTCTGTGGTTTGTGGACAGACTTCCACTGATAATTCTACATGTTAGCCACCCTTCCAGATCCTGCTCTTTTGACCCTTCCTGTTTTTCCTTGTGACTCTGAGGCTGCACTTCCTCTAGAGCAAGGTGAGACTGATCAGCTCGCTCTCTCCTTTACTGTTGTGTTCAATGTGTTTGCTTTCTCACTTCCTTTTATCCATCAGTCCCCTTCATTTAATTTCAAAATCCCAGGAAGTTCTTAATTCTCTCATCTTTTAACTTATTTTTTATGATTATCCTCTACTCTCATTCATTGGAAAAAAGGGGGCTATTGTGTGCGCCAAGTCATCAGTTTGAATTGAAATCATTCTGTGGTTATGTATCTTGATTGATAGACCAACAGACAGATAGGAAAAGAGAGAGAGAGATTTTATTTCTTATTTATCAACATGAAGAAAAGTATGTGTCCCTTATTAATTTTAACAAAAATTCTAAATAAAACTGTCACAAATTTAATACTGTAATGTACTAAGTGAACAATATACTACTACATGGAGATAGGCATTCTTCCAGCAAGGCAAGTTTGCTTAATATTGGTCGTGATAGAAAGCTGCTTTGAATTTTTCATTTGTAAGATGTAGAACAGGAAAATAGTTTATCCAACTGATCCTAGCTGACATAGGTAGATTAGGGGAGTTAAGCACATCTCAGCACTTTGATTTCAAATGTGAAAAGGAATATGTTTGAGGCATATAATTGTTCAAAAATAGATGAGCTAATCAATGAAAACTTAAAATTAACTGCCTTTTTCTTACGCATTCTTATATATAGGACTGTAACAAAATATGCTTACACAATCCAGGCATTTCCCTTTAGGAAATGTGTGCTTAGTTATATTAGGGATTTGTTTTTAAACCGTGATGTGACTGTGTCTGAGACAGTATTTGTCTCTTGTTCAACGAAGGAATTCTTGCATGTTAGTTATCATCCCAGGTGTTGACCGGGGCTAAGTACTCTTATTGCTTCCCTGGGTTTTCTCGTCATTACAGAAGAGCCAGCTACACATACTTGAAGGAAATTATATCGGAAGCATGGATCTTAACTTTTCCTGGCTTATTTTTCTTCTGAAAACAACCCAGTGAAGTATGACTAATTTATTATTTCTTCAATGACAATGTTTAAGGAGTACTAGAGTGAATATAGTTTTGTGGACGGGTAATGCTGGTTTGTTCAACATTTCGTTTCTGGCTTTCTGGCTTCATCAGAGCACTTTCAGTTAATGAGCAAGCCGAGGTTCATTCTGTATTTACCAATGGCGATAGAAAATAATGAAGGTTTTAGACCATGCGTCGTATATTGAATACTCTATCAGATAACTTGAGAAAAGCCAGCAGATAATCTTAGGATGCCCCCAAAGATATTCAAATTAAATTAACATTTGGATAGAGGAATATTAACATAAAGTCTACAGGAAAATCAGGTTAAATAAATGAATAATTAAAACAACATCTTGTATTTCATGAGCATCTACCATGTGCCAGACTCTGCTTTTGTTCCTTTATGTGTAACAAATTATTTCATCCTCATGATCGATATAGTTCATTTATTTGGGTATAATTGTTATTCCAAATTCAAAGATGGATAAACTGAGGTATGGAGGGACGAAATAAGCTGCTCAAAGTCACATTGCTAATGTGGAAGGTAAGAGATATTGTCATTAAAGTTGGCAAATGAAAAAATGACAAGAACCCTAGCATTTAGCATTGATCATTGAGTTCTGTGAGTAAAGTAGTTCTTGCACTGAATATTTGCCCTGTCAGTAACTCATGGCATGACCTTAAAAATATAAATTTACTTCTCACCAAATGTGAAATGAGTATAAAAACGTCTCCTTCCCAGATTCAGTGTGAGTATATATTATAAAAATGTGTAAAAAGTGCAAAGACAGATCTTAGCTCTTTACAAGTTGGTTATTTTTGTTCTTATACCAATTAGTATCAATAAATGCACAGTTCTGTTCCCTCAAGGGAAAAATAGTATCTGATTCTCAAAATCTGATACTTGATAAAGTAAAAACATACCATTTTGACTTCAAGTTCTTTTATTAGAATGAGTAGATGTCCTGAAATCCAGATTCATCTTTTATATATACGTATATACATGTATATGTTATATATACATGTATACATATCTCTACGGCATCTAATTTTTGTACCAAGTACAATTGCTCAACTCTTGAATTTAAATTTACAGTTTTTGTTGTTGGTTGTTTTTAGTATTGTTCCAGAGGAGCTTGCCTCTTTGTCAGTGACTACCCAGGAAAAAACAGGTGTATCTCAGAAACAAAATGCCAAGGACATGGGGTATGTAATGATTACATTATTTTTACATATTGTTTTTAAAATCCTTGTCAATAACATTTTCCAAAATAGGAATAAGGTTCAGAATTACTTGATATGGAGATTTCTTTTGAAATATTGCAGTTAAATAAGGAAAGTGGATTCCATTATTTATAAATATGTACATGGTCTGTGTGTTCACTCATAGTGTTATAGGCCTCATGAGCAAATAAGCTTTGAACTTTGTACAAAAATGCAACACGAAAGATAATCTATTATAATGTTAGATTAAGATTATGAAATTTTGGCAATGGATTTATTGAAGATTACATATATGTATTTATACATATACGTAAATATTGCTTATAATTGAGTGTATGTATACTGATATATTTAAATACTCAAACATTTAATATATTTATATTACACATATTACTTATAATCTAATATTTTTGTGACAGCAGAGCTTTTGTCCATTTAGATCTGTTTCATCCTTCTATGGCTTCAGTTTGTTTCCCTGTATGTCTCTTCCATACTATATTTGAAAAATCATTTACTGATGGACTTCTGAATAAGGTTAAATTTTGTAAATATTGTAAAAAGTGGTACAATGCCCATTGTTGTACGTTTACCTTTGCACATTCATCTGATTTCTTAAATTGTTAACAATGAAATCTGATGGGTTAAATATATACACCATTTAAATTTTCATAAATATTATATTGTCTCCAAGAAATATATGTGTTTGCTCCCACCCATCATGCATAAAAATGTGCATTTCCTCAAATTCTGCCCAGACTAATTTCTTAGTCTTTTTAATCTCCTCTAACATGCGAAATTATTGTTAATTTGCATTTGTTTAATAATTAATTGTACAATTCTTAAGTATGTATGTATGTTCATATTTGTCATTTGCATTTCTATTTGTCTATGCATTGTGAAATTATCTACTTGGTTGTAGAAATTTTGTAAACTTTGTAAGTTTTTCCAAGTATGCTTTTGACTTTCTTTGTGACTAGTGTCTCCTGCCATATTGATGCTTCATATTTTATATAGTAATTCATGAGAAAAGTGACCTGTGTGTCTTGTATCAAAATTTTCTCCCAAATCACTCACATGTCCTATTATTTTCAGTTTCTTTCCTTTCTTAATTTTAATTTTTGCATGAACCTATTTCTAGATTCTCTATTCTGCTTCTAATCCTTGCATTTCATGCATAAGATATACTTATATCTTTTAGCCTTCCTATTTTTTAGCAAAATAAATTTTGATATCGGTGTCTGATTAAGCAAGCTTGCCCCTTTAGTTTTTTCCTTCATTTTTTGTAAAAGTTGGCTCTTATCACAGGTATTTTTTTTAATCTAGAACAATTCATAATAGATTTCAACTCCTGCTATTTTATAATTTCTATGCCTTTCTAGAATAAGGCATTTCAGTTGTATCAAGAATGTTATGTAGTTTTATTTAAAAATACAAATAATCTCTATGACACTTGAAAAAATATTACATGGACATTTATTATATTTAACTTTGAAAATCATTTTCCACATTAAACTAAAAACTACCTATAATATACTAACTTACAGTACTTTAATAATTTACATAGACTAACAATCACAAATAATGCATTTAACTTTTACGTTGTACGTAAAATGTTCTTATTTTTTATTTGGTTTCGTTTTAGATTTGCAATAATTTCCTTAATTGTCAATGTGATGCTGGATATGCTCCTCCAACTTGTGAGCCAACGTCATCATCACCAGGAGGAAGTGTGGATGATGGGTTTTGGACTGTGGAAAGTTAGTATTAGATCAATGTGCTTCAATAGAGCTTTCCGCACTTAATAGAAATGTTTGGCATCTCCACTGTGTATGTGGTTATTGAGCCCCTGATATGTGGATAATGCAACTAAGAAACTAAAATTTTCATTTTATTTCACTTTATTTAATGTAAATTTAAATAGCCACTTGGGGCTGGTAGCTACTATAGCAGACAGAAGAGCTCTATAGTATCAATCAAAGTTTTGTACACACTTTTAATTCAAATCTAGAAGTGAACATTTTAATAGTCCTTCCCTTAATTTGAACCATGGTTCCTAAAACATTTCTATTTATACACAATATTTTCTTTATAGGTATAGTTAAATTCCAGAATAGGCGATAGTTTTGTTATATAGGCTGTGTATTCCAAAGATGTTAAGTGATATGATATGCTAGTTCACAACCGATTTGCATCTTTAAAGTTAACCATACTATTGGAAGGTAAAAATAATCAAATCTTCCATATCCATAGCATATGGATAGTAGATGGAACAAAGCATTTTTAATTATTTGGTGACTATTCATGAACAAATATGGCATATTTGTTTTTTCTAAGCTTCACAGTGCAAAAATGTCCTATCAGTGTAATTCTATTAGTGACTTTCTGTCATTTTTACTTTTACTGTTACATATTGTATCTATATATATGTTGTAAACCTGATGATATATTATTATATTTGCCTTAAATAGCCAATGGAATATTAAAGTTTTTTAATATAAATATTTACATTTATTCACCTCCTTATTGCTTTCTAGGGCTTTTTGGCTCTTCCAGCACTCTCAAATTTCCATGTGGGTCATTTTCCATCAGCCTGAAAAACTTCCTTTTGTATTTCTTTTGTGTGTAACTTGTGGTGACCAATTGTCTCAGCTTTTGCTTGTCTTTAAAATGCTTTTATAGTGTCTTAATTTGTGAAGGATATTTTCACTGAAAGTATAACTCTACATTGAGGCTTGTTTCTTTCAACAGTTCAAAGACGCAATCCCTTCATATCCTGGCTTTTATTTTCTGATGAGAATACAGCTATCTTTCTTATTATTCATCCAAGCCTATAATGCTTCTTTTATTCTTTGTCTGAGTTTCAGACTTATTTTATATCTTTGACTTTCCAGTTTCACTATGATTTAACAAGCTATATTTTCCTTTGAATTTATCCCTCCTGGGTTGGCTGAGTTTATTGATTCTATAGGTTGATGTATTTTTTGAAAGTTTGGAAAAAAAATTAGCCATTGTCTTTTTTTTAATATTTACTTTTTATTTAACATGTTTGGTTTTTTAAAGAAATTGTACACAGTAACATTCACTCCAGGGTGTACAGTTCTATTGGTATTGAAAACGTATACACCCCTGTTCCGACCACCACAACCATGATTCACAGTGGATCTAACACCCTAAAACTTCCTTCTGGCTGCCCTTTTATATTTATCCCCCAACACCAATTCCTGTTCTCTGTCCCTATAGATTTGCCTTTTCCAGAATGTTATATATGTTACATGTACATTTGAAATTCATCCCTGTTGCCTTATGTCTTAGTACTTCATTCTTTTCTATTGTTAAGCAGCCTTCTATTGAAAAGATGTATTATAGTTTGCTTATCTATTCACCCATTGGAGGATATTTGGGCTGTTTCTAGATTTTGGCTATTATGAATAAAGCTGCTATAAATGTGCACATAGGCTTTGTGTATATATAAGTTCTCATTTTAGGGTGGGTAAATACCTAAGAGTGAGGTTTATTTTCGTCTTTGAGACTTCCTTTTTCTCTACACAGATGATCCACACTTCAGAAGCATTTGATATTGTCTTTTTTGTTTGTTTCGTTTGATTTTGTTTTACCAGTTTTAGATGTGTAATGATAGTCCATTGTGATTTTTGTTTACCTTTTTATATCGAAATAATTATAGATTCAAAAAGAGGTGCAAAGAAATGTAGAGGAAAGTCCTGTGTACCCTTTACTCAGCTTCTGTCAATGTGAACATGTTTCAATACTATAGTAGAATATCAAAACCAGTAGATATTGGAAATGGACATTGGTAAAATACACAGACCTTATTGAGATTTCACCAGTATACATGCACTCATTTGTGTGTGTGTGTATTTCATTCTGTGCAATTTTACCACAGGTTCACATTTGTGTAACCACCACCACAATCAACATACAGAACTGTATCATCACTATATGGCCTCTAATATTACCCCTTTATATAGCAACACTGGTCCTCTCTTTCCCTATTCCTAACTCCTGGCAACTACTAAACTGCTTTCCATCTCTCTAATTATGCTATTTCATGAATATTATATAAATGGAATCATAGAGCTTGTATCTCTTTCAGATTGGCTTTTTTCTCTTGCATAATTTGCATGAACTGCATCCAAGCTGTTGCATGTATGAATATTCCATTCCTTTTTATTTATGTCTAGTATTCCTTTCTATGGATGTATGAAAGTTTGTTTAATATTCACCTCCTGAAGGATATTTGGGTGGTTGCCAATTTTTAGCTATTATGAATAGATCTGCAATAACGTTCATGTAGAAGATTCTTCATGAAAGTAAGTTTTTAATTCTCTTGAAAACATACCCAAGGGTGAAATTTTCAGGTTTATGGTAAGGCATCTACAGTTTCAAAAGCAACTGCCAAACTATTTTTCAGAGTCTCTGTAACATTTGACACTTCCACCAGTAATCTATGAATGACCCAGTTTTTTTGCATCCTTGGCAACATTTGATGACACCATTATTTATTTTTTTAGCCACTCTATTAGATGTGTACTAATGTCTCATTGTGGTTTTAAATTGCACTTCCCTAATGGGTAATGATGTTGAATATCTTTAATGTGTTTATTTGGCATCTGCATATCCTTTTCAGGGAAAAGTCTCTTCGTATCTATTGTCCATTTTCTAATGGGATTTTTTGAGTTTTTTAAATGTTGAATTTTCAGAAATTGTTTGTTTTTAAGATAATATGTATTTTGTTGGATATGTAATTTGAACATATTTTCTCCAAGTCTGTTAATTGGTTTTATCTCAGACCAAAAGCTTTTTCAAATTCTTCTTTTGATAAGGTCTACTTTTTTCCTTTTTGGATCATGCTTTTGGTGTCAAGTGTAGGAACACTTTGTCAGTCTTAAGTCCTGAAGACTTTCTGCTATGATATTCCTAAAAGGTGTGGTTTTATGTTTTACATTTAAGTCCATGATCCATTTTTGGCTACATTTTATGAAGGGTAGAAGATTAATTTTTGATTAATGAGTGTCAGTTTCTCCAGCACAATTCTTTGAAAAAGCTATATCTTGTCCATTGAATTGTTTTTGCACCATTGTCAAAAATTAATTGGAATTTTGTGTGGGTATATTTCTCATTTCTCTATTCTGTACCATTGATCTACATGTCATTCTCACCACCAATGCTACACTGTTTTGATTATTGTAGCTGTACAGTAATCTTTAAGATTAGGAAAAGTGATTCCTCCCACTTTATTCTTGTTTTTCAAAAATTGTTTGGCTATTCTAGGGTTTCTCTTTTTCATACACATTTTAGTATAATCTTGTCTACATTTACAAAAATCTTGCTGTGATTTTGATACAAATTGTGTTAAAGTTATGCATCAGTTTTGGAACATTTTACATCTTTACTATTTATTATTGAATTGTTCAATCTACGAACATGGTGTGTCTCTCCGTTTATTTAGATCTTCTTTGATTTCCTTCATCAGAATTTTGTAATTTTCACCAGATACTGTACACATTTTATTATTTCATATTTATTATTTCATTTTCTTAGAGCAATTGTAAATGATGTTGTACTATAATTTGACATATTTTAATTTATATTTATAAACAACAATTAAAATGATTAATCTTACTGTTTATCACATCTACAACATCTAACGCCTTCCATTCAACTTTGCATACATATTTGACTATTTGTGAACCATATCAAAAAAAGTTTATGTCCAATTGTTATAAAAGATGAAAGGATACTGTTGAAGATCTTTTTCACAATATAGAATGTTCCAGATAAAATACCATACTTCCTTTTTGTCACTAGAAATATTCTGTTAACTCATTGACTCTTGAGTTGGAGGAAAATTATGATATATCATTGCATGAAGACTCATAGTATGAGATTTCATTTACATGATCAATTTCAACATCACCATTATAGACTAGAGTTCTGCCCTCTGGTTCTTTGCATTTGTCTGATAAAAATTATAAAATATCTTTCTCTATCAATATTGAATTTTTATTAGTATAGCAGTAAAAGAAAATTTCTGAATTCTCAGTTGTGCTCAATAGAGGCTAAAAGAAAAAGAAAGAAATTGACTCCAGGGCTCTCTTGTACCTTCTTGAAAGTTGATACATTACTTCTGGCAACAAAATAAAAAATCTGAAATTTTCCAATGGAATACAATAGGGAGCTCAGAAATAGATCCTCACATACATGATCTAATGATTTTTTATAAGGATGCCATGACCATTCAACAGGGGAAAGGACAGTCTTCTCAACAAATTGTATTGAAATAACTGGATATCAATATGCAAAAGAGTGAGGTTGGCCTCTTACACCATATACAAAAGTAACTCCAAATGGATCAAATATTTAATTGTAAGGGCTAAAACTATAAAATTCTTAGAAGAAAACAGAGGTGGAAATCTTCACAACATTGGATTTGACAATGATTTCTTGGATATGACACCAAAAGCAAAGGAAACAGAAGAAAAAATAGATAAATTGAAATTCATCATAATTAAAAACTGCTGCAAATCAATGGACACTATCAGCAAGGTAAAAAGGTAACCCATGGAATGGGGAAAATGTTTTCAAATCATAAATCTGATGAAACGTTAATATCCAGAATATGTAAAGAACTCCTACAAGTCAACAACAAAAGAAACAAATAACCCAATTAAAGTATGGGCAACGAACTTGAATAGACATTTCTTCAAAGAAGATACACAGATGGCCAATAAGGACATGAAGAAATGATCAATCCCACTAACTGTTAGGGATTTGCAGGTCAAAACCACAACAAGATACCAATTCACACCTCTTAGGATGGCTATTACCAAAAAAGTTCAGAAAATATCAAGTGTTGATGAGGATGTGGAGAAATTGGAACCCCTGTGCATTGCTGTTGGGAATGTAAGGTGATGCAGCCTCTGTGGAAAATAGTATGGTGGTTCCTCAAAAAATTAAACATAGGGGCAAGCCTGGTGGCATAGTGATTAAGTTCACATGCTCTGCTTCAGTGATCTGCAGGTTAGGATCCTGGGTGTGGACCTACACACTGCTCATCAAGCCATACTGTGGCGATGTCCCACATACAAAATAGAGGAAGATTGGCACAAATGGTAGCTCAGCGACAATCTTCCTCAAGCAAAAAGAGGTAGATTGGCACAGATGTTAGCTCAGGGAAAATTTTCCTCACACACACACACAAAAATTAAACATAGAATTACCATATTCTAGAATTCCACATCTAGGTATATACCCAAAAGTATTAAAAGTATGGACTAAAACAGATATTTGTACACCCATGTTCATGAGCAGCATTATTCACAATAGCCAAAAGGTGGGAAGCTCCAAATGCCCATTAATAGGTAAATGGAGAAACAAAATGTGATACATACATACCATGGAATATTATTCAGCTTTATAAAGGAATGAAATACTGACACATGCTACAACATGGATGGAACTTGAAGACCTTATGCTAACTAAAACAAGCCAGTCACAATAGAGCAAATATTGGATGATTCTGCTTTTATGAGGTACCTAGAGTAGTCAAATTCATAACGAGAAAGTAGACTGGTAGTTGCCAGGGGCTGACAGGAGAGGAAAATGTAGAGAATTTCAGCTTGGGATGCTGAAAATGTCCTGGAGTTTGATGGTGGTAATGGATGCACAACAATGTGAATGTGCTTAATGCCACTGATTGTAGACTTAAAAATGTTTAAAATGATAAATTTTCAGTGTGGTGTATTTTAACACAATAAAAGTTAAATTAGGAAAAAATTCTATTTATGATATCACCCAAAATAATACAGTATTTAGAAATAATTTTATGAAAAGAAGTGTAAGACACTGAAAACTAAAAGTACATCATTGAAAGAAAGATCTGCATAAATGTAAAGACATTTCATATTCATGTTTTCGAAGACTCAATACTATTAATATAGGAAAACTCCCAAAATTGATCTACCAATTCAATACAATCCTTAACAAATCCAAGCTGTGTTTTTTGCAGAAATTGATAAGCTGATCCTAAAAGTCATATATAAATTCAAGGGACATAGAATAGTAAAAACAATCCTGAAAACATAGTTTTTAAGAAAACTTGAATCTGAAAACCTACTTCTCAATTCCAAAATATATTACAAAACTAAAAATCAAGACAGTGTACTACTGTCCTAAGGAAAGGGATAGCCATGCAGTTCAATGGAATAGAATAGAGAGTCCAGAAATAAAGCCTTATACCTAACGTCTTTGATTTTTGACAAGGATGTATGGCACTTCAATGGAGAAAGATGGTCTTTTGAACAAGTGGTGTTGGGACAAGTAGATAACCACGCGGAAAAGAAGGAAGTTAGCTGCTACATCACAACATTCACAAAAATTTACTGAAAATGGATCATAGATAGTAAATATAAGAGCTAAACTTACAAAACACTTAGAACACATACAAGTAAATCTTTGTGAGGGTGGCATAGGCTATGTTATACAAAATACCAAAGGACACGTACGGAGAAGAATAATAGATTGATGGAACTTCTTCAAACTTAACAACTTTTGTGCTGCAAAAGATACCACCCAGAAAGTGAAAGACAAACTACAGAATGGGAGAAAATATTTGTAAATTTTATATCTCTTATGGGACTAGTATCCAGAATATATAAAAAACACAAGTTCATAATAAAAAGAGAAATAACCCAATTAAAAATGGAAAGGGGTTTCAATAAACACATCTCATAGAAGATCTACAAATGGCCACTATGCCCCTGAAAAGATGCTCAGCATCTTAGGAAAATGCAAATCAAAACCACAATGAGATACTAGTTCATGCTTATTCAAATTGTAATAAAAAATTCAGGCAAAGTGTGTTAGGATGTGGAGAAATTGGAATCTTCTTGGTGCTGTTTTTTCCAGCATGCTCAAACTAGTACAGTAATGCATCGCTTAATGATGGGGGCACGTTCTGAGAAATGTGTCATTAGGTGATTTCGTTGTCGTGCAAACATCATAGAGTGCACTTATACAAACCTAGATGGTATAGCCTACTGCACACCTAGGCCGTATAGTACTAATCTTATGGAACCACCATCGTAAATGCAGTCTGTCATTGACTGAAACTTCATTATGTGGCACAGGACTATGTTCGCCAATTTATTTCCTATAATACATAAAACATCCTGAATCACTTTCTTTGGTAAATCACTTCTAATCATCATGTAATTGGATTGTGTTTTAAAGTTACTGATTGTTTTGGCTTTTTTCAGGGGCATTAAGTTCTTTTGCATTTAATATCATGATAGTTGCTTTGGTAGTAATTCTGATTGCTTGATTTAGTTTTTTGTATTTTACCTGTCTGGTTTATTTCTTTTGTTTTATTGCACCAAGTTTCTTTTGATTTTATTTTTCTAATTTTCTGTAATATCTTTATAACACCTAAAGGAATATCTATTTTTCTAATTAATATATTCAAAATTAGCACAATATCACCTTATACAGATACTCAGGAAATTTAACCTAGTTTACTATCATTAATTGTGTTTTAAACCTAAAATTCAGTTATATCAATAATTTTTCATTAAATCATTTTTAAAACAGTTCTTTTTGCTTTACATTTTAAATGGAAGAACTTAGATAATATCAATCTAATGCATTCTAAGTAGCAATTCATATTAGGGAATAAGGCAGGATAAAATACATTACAATAAGGCACACAAATAAAGATTAAAATGCATATAAAATTAAAAATAAACATGCCAATGAGATATGTATGTCTAGTAATTGAGTTGACATAAATATATAAGACACTTTGAGGAATAGTCACATAATATCGAAAATACTTTTAAATTTGTTTATTCATTCCATAACTGTATTATTTGAATTCCAAATTGTTATAATTCAAACTACTAATAAGCTTCAAATATCATTTTTGAGAAAGTTAAAATTTACTCTCACGTTTTCAGGTAAGAATACGTACTCGTTTATAAAACGACGTGCTGCTGCCCCTAGAAAAAATGGCCTCTTGATCAGTTTCTATGTTTTTCTACCTTTCCTTATTTTAACTGCTGTCATTGCTCTTAAATGGAATAAAATTAAGAGATCTTGGAAGAGAGAGGAAACAGTAAGTGAAGGGTAAGTAAACTCATTATTTTTCATATTAAATATTAAAAATGCATTATGGGAAGAATTCAGATGTAACTCAGATTTCTTATAAGTAGGGATCCTTGGATGGATTGGGTTAATGTTTAAAAATAGTGGGTCTTAGTAAACACCAAATTTTTTTCAGATTTCAGGCTGTTAAGTATCCTTTATGTTCTAATAGACCTAGAAACAATTGAAGCTACTCAGTCAATCTTCTCCCTTTCCAATAGAGAGCCACACTGGCTATAATTGCTTTAGGGGGTTCCACTTCCAAAGCAACAGCATCTTCCTTGCATCGACAACCAGTTGTGCCAAGGAGATTAGTAGAGATAGGGGAGCAAATTTTGTGAACAGAATATGACAAAGGTGAGAAAAATATAAGATGGCAAAGAATAAGGGAGAGAACACAGATAGGATAGTCCCCATTTTACACAAAATTAATATTGCTCATGTGTTTCTAAAATTAGAATTAAGGTACTTGCACAGCTTTCTTCTTCACCTTAACACCAATGCAAGCCACAATTTGCTTAGTGAATATTTAGGAAAATGAGAATGCAGAAGTAAGGATAAATGTGTCTCGTTCCACACTAAACAAAAATGGTTCTGTTTATTTCTTATGGATACAGAGATAAGATAAAGATACAAAAGTTCAAGCAACACTTCTACTTCCTAAGTTAATTTTATTTACCAAGTTAGCAGCAACTAGTTAAATTCTGGACAGTATTCTGTATGATTTATATAGACATTTACATGACCATCAAACTGTTATAAATTGATTTAATTGAATGATATCTGGCATAAACCTTCCAGTGTTATTACTTAAGACATCTTGGAAAAATCTGAATAGTTCCTGGAAGTAAATCTGACTTTTGTAAGAGATGATATCATAAAGGATCATTGATCATAAATAACAAAATCTGATCATAAAAGCCTAAGTTTTACAGCAATGATAGTCATTTCAGGATTGCAAGGGTAAGAAATGATGTAGAGCTGAAGCACAGGAGGGTGGTAATAATCTAGATGGTCAGGAACTAGGTCGTTCAGTCCATCACCCAAAGGCTTTATGATTGACATCGTCTCTTCTTGTCTATGTCCATTCTCTCCAAAATGACTTCTCTCCTTCCACATGGGCCAGGATACATATCTCAACCTTTGTAGATTCATTTTCAAATAAAACACCAATAATCTGTCCACAGCCAATGCCTTTTAATTCATATTCTCAAGAGACAGAAGAAAATAGCTGTGCAAGTGTACCTAAATTCAGCCAGTGTTCTGTCTGTCTGAGATAGGTGTTCAAACCTGATCTTGTCATCTGTGACCAGGGAATTGTAGACATGTAGTACGAACCTGGACACCATGACAGTCCTTTTCAACAGGAACTGGGGATGTATAGGAGTTTTCCATAGAAAAAATGTAGGCTGTATAAATACCACAAAATATAACTAAGCATAGCTGAAAGACATAGAGGACTCATTTAGGACTTCACTAATAAAAGTGAAATAATTCATCATTTACATAGGTTTTTTTTAATAGAAGTATTGCAATTGGACAGATAATAATAAGAGTTTGAAGATTTGTGTGTAAATTACCTCTTTAACCTTGGTGAAGCATGACGTAGATATATTAATATGTCATCCTGTCTTCCATGTAGGTAAAATATAGAAAAATAATAGTTGGGCTTTTAGTTTGAAATTTTAAAAATGCTTAAATCTTTAAAGTTAAATCAACATTAGAAAAGACCAAACACTAGAATATATGATTACCTAGTGGGATACGGGAAGTACAGTGGATATTGGTCCTTTTTAATTGATTGATTAGTACAAATCTAGCTGTTTTACTTTTCTTGAGTTTGTTTAAGATTACAATGTTTTCTAATCCTAAAACAAATGCTATTTCTGTTATGCAGATCTATATCAGAAGACAGCAGTAGTAACAGCATCCAGTCACATGTAGAGTTAAAGGTGAATTGAAGGAATCAAATTATTGACAAAATGATACAATTCATGAAATACTTGTTTTAATTTTTACAATACCTCAGTATAAGAAAGCTATTGTTTCCGTGCTTTATCATCCTGATTCCTATTTGTCAATATCATATACTGAAACAAAGCATTTGATGTTAACTTTATTTTAGACTAACTTAGAAATATTCAGTGTTAACTAATATTAGCCAGAGATTTACTAACCAAAATTCTTGCCATAATAAATGACTTTAAAGATATTTTAAATATGTTCTTAAAATATTTCTGAGCAATTATGCATCTTGCTCCTGCATTTAAGGTTCTAATTGGTAGATTTACTGAGATTGTTTCCTGACATTTGCATTTCTTCCTCAGTAAGGCTCCACGGTTATTGTTATCCTTATTTTAGACATAAGGAAAAACACATAAAGAATTTAAATAATCTCCCATGTGTATAGAATTTTAGTAGGTCTTTGAGTTGGAGTTTAGGACCATCAGATAATAGGGTTTCAACTCTTAGGAACTCCATAATTTTGACATATGGCTTGATACATGACTGGGGATGGGGAATGGAATTTACCTTTATTGAGGACCTATTTGATTCCAGGCAAAATGCTAAATGCACTCTCCTTCCAAGGCAGGAAGACAATTCTTTGTTATAAAATGGGATAAAATAGGCATCTGTATATATTGTCCAAATTTCTAACTCATGTGTAAAGAAATCATGATATTTCTCATATTAGACCTATCACTGGGAGTAAATGGAAAAATTCAAAAATTCAACCAAGAGTGAGATCAAGAGTTAATCCAATTACCTATCTGCTAATTCGCATATCTGATTTAGATGCAGAGTTAAGTCAATGGATCTCTGTTTATCTGCCCCCAGAAAATATTTATAAGTCCTACCCTCAATGTAAAATAGCCTATTTCTACCTAGACCAATCTCTACCTCTTTGTTGATAACTTTATTAAAAGCCCACATCTTAAGTGAGGATTTTGGCTCTTGGCTCACTGTCTTCCTCTCATGTCCTTCAGTTGTGTTCTCACTATCACGCTGAGTGTCTTCACCTGAACTCCTCACACCAGCCAACTTCAGTGATTTTCTCCAAAGCAATATAGTGCGCTTGCCAATTCCTTGATGTCTTCCAACTCTTGTCATAAATTCAATATCTTATTTTATTTTATTATTTTTTCACAGCTTTCTCCTGCCAACAGTACTTTATAGTTACATTAAAATCTTGTCTCAAGAATTTGAGTGGGTTAGGCAGTCAGTCCATAAGTAATAAACATATTTTATAAGTTGATTATCTAGTGTATTGAAAGGTTATTAATGACATGGAAAAGATTAGAGCAGTAGGCATAATTGGGAGAGATGATGTTGAGGGAGGAACTGGATAGCAATTTGAAATATGGTTGACTGAGTAGGCATTACTAAGTGACATGTAAGCAAATAATTGGAGGAGGTGCAAGTATTTACCCAGTTTAGATATTTGAAAGGAGTCCCTTGACTTCACAGGGGAAACTCACATAAGGTTTTTATTTAAATGCAAAGTATGCAGTGCAGCAAGAGAGAGTACAGGCAAGCACTGGGGGTCAAAGAGACACCTGGTGCTCAAGGTCTCAAGGTTCCTTATTTTAAATTTTAGATATCCCATCGTAAATCCCACTGCCCCTGTCTTGGCACAAAGTGAAACCAGACATCCAGCCTTTCCCAGACATAGAGGTAGACCTTTTCCACTCCAGCTGTAAATCAACTTTATCTTCCAGAGGCATAGAGCTGGCAGAGCTATCCATGCATACATCTGGGCAGGCGCTTTCCAAGCACATGGTGATCCAATGAAAAAATGTCAGGAATGTTTGATGAATAACAGTGATTCCAATGTATCGGAAGCAGAGTTAGCGAGAGGGCTGCGGTGGTGATTAGGTCAGAGAAATCAAACTCCTGAGGGTTTGGGAGGTCTTGGAGGCCATCTGTGTTTTACCCTGATTGAAAGGGAAGAATCACTGGAGGCTTTAGATTCCAAGCACATGACTTACACTTTTAATGTCTGGGTTGTTGAAAGTAGTCTGTATGATGGCAGGAGTAGAAGTAGAGAAACCAGTTAGTGCAGAAACTACTGCACTAATCCAGGAGAGAAAGGATAGTACCTCAGACCAGGGACAGTGAGGATGGCTTTAGGAATAAATTTTGAAGGTGAACCAACAGAATTAATTGACAGTGTGGATGTAGAGTGTAATAAAAAGTGTTTAAATAATGTTTAATGATATAAAGCAGGAAGATAGCAAGGCTAAAATGTAAAGCCAGACCTCTCTGTTGCTAAATTTGTGCTCTTAATACATTTTAAAATTTATGAGAGATAAAATATACATAGGTAATAGTGAGCCAAGACAAGTGTCTGGGATGCCATGATAGGGAGTTTAAGTTTTCCCGTATATGAATAAGAACATAGTGAAACCAACTTTGAGGTGGTAAAGAAGGGATGCAGCATGGTATGGTTTGCTTTTTACAAATTCCACTGCGATAAGGGAGGGGAGAATTCAGTCAGATTCAGTCAGAACTGGAGACCAGTGAAACAGCTGAGACTACAGAATCCACAGGAAAGGTGTGGTGAGGGCAGGCTTGGATAAGAGGAAAAGAACAGAAAAGTCTTGAGAAGTAACAGAGGTAGACTCAAGTGAAGTGGTGACTGGATGGACATATTTGGGTTGGAATAAGAGAGAACTACGAAGACTTAAACATTTCTGACACCATGGATAATGACACCTTTTACTAATGACATATTGTATAGTAGAGTAAGAACCAATTTGGTGTGGAGTGAGGAAGTGCAGGGGAGTGAAGAATGGTTTTACCCACCTAAAGTATAGAGACCATATAAATGAAACATATACAAACATCAATTTATAATATTTCCTTTTAAGGTGGCTGTCACAAATGATTCAGGAAAAGGAACTTGTGTTTACATATTTTGTGGAGCACAGGCATAGATTGTGACAGTATAACCAGGGTCTTACTGCACTAATTAATTGTTATACCTGTAATTGTGTAGTAAAATTAGACAGCTTTTATTAACAATTAAAATATAGCACTTCTATTTTTCTTTATTTCTTTCAGAACAGTGAGTAAACAATAATGTCAAAAAGCTAGAGGTTGGAGAAAGGATATTACTAAGAAACTCACCATTAACCGGCCTGATCCAAGAATGAAAAAAATCTGCTTTCTCTCTCCTTTTGCTATGACTTAGAGCTTTCATTTTCACAAACCAAAATAAATCCCGTGAGTGAAAGTATGTAGGTTTCTGTCTATTGATTATTCTCCCTGCAGGGATCATTTAGTAGGAAATAAGCAGCTTTGCCTCTTTCGAACCTGGGAGGCTGTCACATCCCAAGCTGAAAACCATCCATTGTCCACTGCTGCTGCCTGCCCTCAGATACCCATGCTCACTGCATGCCCTCAGATGCCCATGCTAACTGCCTGCCTTCAGATGCCCATGCTAACTGCCTGCCCTCAGATGCCCATGCTCACTGCATGCCCTCAGATGCCCATGCTCACCGCCTGCCCTCAGATACCCATGATAACTGCCTGCCCTGAGATGCCCATGCTCACTGCATGCCCTCAGATGCCCATGCTCACTGCCTGCCCTCAGATGCCCATGCTCACTGCCTGCCCTCAGATACCCGTGCTAACTGCCTGCCCTGAGATGCCTATGCTAACTGCTCCCATCTCAAGAGAGGACACCTACAGTCAGTACCTCTCCAATAGTTCATGATTCCCTTGCCCTGTCCTTTGCTGGCTTTGGGATATTGAGAGGAAGTGTTGCTAGGTATGGCCAGCCCCAGAGCCCCCAGATAGTCACTAGCGTCCATTCTATCTTCAAAGAATTTCTCAAACTGAGTTCCTGGTCATAGATAACTGTTCTGTCTCCAGGTGATACGTCCTTGGCCTCATGTAAATTGAGATCTAGGATATATCTTTGTCCTTTGGGGGAACCCCGACTTGCTGCTCTTTCTTCACTGAAACTGAGCTTTTCTGGGTAAGATTTTCTTGCTTCAGCGCTCCCTCTCCCCATCTCCCTCTTACTGGATGAGTGCACTTCTGGACATCTCAAAGCATTCTACATGGATTGAGGAACCATCAGCCTACCTGGACTCTAATTAGGATGTATGGAGCCTCCATCAATAAACAAAGATGCTTCTGGGTCAAGGATTGGAGTACGTCACCACAGAGCCCAAGAGTTTCCTTTACCAAATGTCCATCAACTGATAAATGGATAAACAAAATATGGTCTATCCATACAATGGAATATTTAGCCATAAAAAGGAACGAAGCAGTGACACTGCGACAACATGAATGAACCTTGAAACCATTATGCCGAGTGAATAAAGCCAGTCAGAAACACTGAACATGATTCATTTGTATGAAATGTCCAGGACAGGGACATCTTTAGAGACAAAGATCGGTGGTTGTTTAGGGCTGGGAGTTGGGCTGCGGGATGAAGAGCAGAGATGAGGGGTGGTGATAGCCAAGTGGTACAGGATGTCTTTTTGAGATGATGAAACTAAAATTGACTGTGGTAGTGGTTGCACATATCTGTGAAGATACTATAAGTCCTACTATCATACTCTTCAAGTGGGTGAATTGTGTGGTAAAAAGGTACACATAGGACTCATTCTTCCCTAAGTTTCCGTCATCCTCACTGCACTCATTTGGGGCATTATGATCACGGGCCTGCTTTATTCTGATAACCTCTGAGGATCAGTGTTATCAGGTGTACTACTACCTGGTAGGTCCAGGTTTTACACCTGGCCAGAGTTTATTTTTGCAACAGCTGCCACGAGTCATCCTTGTCATAGGGTGTACTGGGATAAAAGAAGGTTTGGGTGAGAAATGGGATAGAAGTTGAGTTAGGTTTTGTGCAGTTTCAGATAGTTGTCAGAAAATTCAGACAACTGCCTGCTCTTTCTTCTCCAGTGGTGTCACTTTTCCTCTTTCCATTTGTCGTGCTGCCCTTCCCATCTCTCCAGCCTCCTTAGCGCTTTAAAGTAATTGTTAACAAAACACACTTAGGTTGGGTCTTCAAGTTTCCTTTCCCTCTCCTCCATCGATTATAATCGAACACTGTAAGAACAGGCACTCAGCTGAAGAAAAGTGCTTTTAAATTGCCTTAGCCAGATCAAGTTCAACATTCTTACTTTTTCTTTATTTGCAAAGACATAAACTATTGTCATCAGCATGATTTAAGTAGAAAATTTCTCCTAAAAATTAACATTTCTATTTTCCTCTTTCTCCCCCACCACACTAAATAAAAAATGGCAGACAACTGTGTCATGGAGAAACGAAATTACCAAGAACTTCACCAGAAAAGCTAATCATGCTTACTTGCCCCACGTCACTACTGAAGGGTTTAAACATTGTAAACTTGGCCCCAACAAACCGGCTGTTTACAATCGCATATGCTTGCGTCTGGCGTTTCCCCTCCCCACCTGGTGGAAGTGCCCTGCTGCTCAGGATCTCTAAGGAGGAGCAGCGTGGCTGAAAGCAGCTGCAGCCCTTTGCCCAGGGGCCCAAGCTGGTGCGCTGTCCTCCTGAGGCCTCGTGCCCGTGAACCTGAGAGCCGCCAACCGCCTTCAACCTTGGCTATGCTTCCTGCGCTCTGGCGCAGCCACGTTCCTTCTCCTTGCCCTGCTCGCTGAGCTTGGAAGGCTGCATGCCCGCCTGGGTAAGACCAGAGCAGCCTGAACTTCCTTCTCCTTTTGCTTCAGAGCAGGGCTGGGCTCTTCCTGCTGAACAGTTTCCTGTAGCTCTGGGACCCCTAAAGCCCCCTTCCCGGATCCCCTGCTGGTGCCTTCCTCCGTGTCTCCCCACCCCACATACCAGACCAGGTGACTGAGGATGTCAGCCAAGGAGTCCTATCTCTGCATCAGGGGTCCACGGTCTCAGCAGCTGAAAAGCAGCCGGTCTTCCTGGTCACCTACTCTGTGGCCAGAGGATTCAGGGGGGTGTTTGCTGCCCTCAGCTTATTCCCCAGAGTCCGGAGGGAAACAGGCTCCAGCGTGGTCCTGCAAATGAACAGGAGGTCCTGTAGAACTGCAATGTCTAATTTTTGTTTATTTGTTTATACCTTAGCCATTTCTAATGCGCCATTGAAAATCTAGTGAAAGCTGTGGACCAAGGAGGGTTTACTCACAATTTCAGACCCCCCATGGACTCAGGGTTAGGACCCCATGCTTTGCTGAGACGATTATTGTTACAAAAACACCCACTTTCTGACTGCAGATTCTGACGGGGTATTCCTGCAGGTCACAGTTCCACGGAAGATAAAGTCAAACGAGAGTGAAGGTTTAGAGAAGCAGGTAAATGACCAAGAATACTTGTTGTATAATTTAAAATGTTAAGACTATTTTTATTTACTTTGTATTACAGTCAGATCATACTGATTTCTATTCAACTGCAAAGCAAAATATTTTCACTGTACTATTTTTGTCTCTTAGCACATTTGGATCCTCCCTTCCCCACTGTCTGCTGCTCAGTCCTGTCCCCGTCCCATCATCTCTCCATCTCTTCTGATGTACTTGTTCACAATTTCCAAGAAATATTGAACAGGAATCATGCTGATAGAAAAAAATTCAGTATGAAAAGGATGTAACTATGGTCTAGCCTGCAATCTATAAAAATTTGTTAATGGCCTCTAAGTGGCAGAGAAATTGGTCTTGAGCACAATTTAGACCTGCAGATTTTGACCCAGAAGCATCAGACTTAGTAGAAGTAATGGCCAAAGGAAGAAAGGAAGAAAGAAAAGGAAAAATAAAAATCTCACATTTGCCCGATTATGATGAAAATGATTGCACAATAAATAAATATTAACTGGACAAACAAGTTGAACAAAATGCTTATCTGCTGTATAAAAAAGTGATTAAATTGAAGGCATTCAGCCAAATATTTTCCTGATTAAAATACTTCAAACTGGCAGTTACAGTGTTTTATATTACAAGCCATAAGGCACAATACAGGGATTTAGATTTCCACGTGGCTAAAGTGGTGTGGTCAATCTATGGTAACCCTGAAAACATGTTTTCAAGTTGAAGGAAAAATTTTTGAAATAAGAGGAAGTAAGAAAATTAAGAATCCATTAACTCTATTTTGGCATATAGTATTGGCACCTATCGTGATTAGGTTCTACTACTTAACAATTTGAATGAAAATAAAATATATGTAAATTACACTTGAAAATCTCAATAAAATAGTTTCCGTTAGAGAGGTTGTATTTTCATATACTAAGCTCACTTGATTCTCACATTAACCTTCTGAAGTAGGGTGTATATCTCCTACTTTTCCTAATATATGTATGTATTTAGCAAAGAGGATTAAAAATGTTAAGGGTGTCAAAGTTACAAGTTTCAGGACATGGAATCTAATCTTTAATTTACGACTCCAGTTTCATTACAGGTAAACTACCTTCTGTTGAAAAATTCTTTACATAAAAGTTTATTTTCTTCTATTATTATTTTCTGATTTATTTCTCTTAGTGCACTGTCATTGCATGACCACTTTAAACTTCAAATTGTTTATTTGAAATTGCCTGTCACAAAGCATAGAGCAACTGTGCAGGATTTGAAATAGTTTTGCCATGAAGGACATCAAGTGTTCGGTACCTTTCTGCTTTTTTTGTAGTCTATGTACGGAGTTCTGGAAGCCGTTTTTTCATGTGATAGAGAATGCTTAATGTTCTCCTTCTATTTCTTAGAGTAGACCTCCCTATATCTCTCTTGTTCTCTTCCTTTGCTCCCTTATTACCCTGCATCTTCTGCTTTTTTTTTTTTTTTGGTTAACATATAAAGGATTCTTTCTCATGGACTTCCAGTTTGTCATGATAACACATATTCCATTAAAGCAATGGCTTGGATTTGGGGATATTATAGGAATTATGAAGAAGGTGTTCAGCCTTCTAAGGTTTATCTAAGTATGTTTGTGGAAGCCATTGTGCTGTTGTTAGTATAACACTGGGAAGAAACTGCTCAGCTGAGGAGAGCTGACCTCACTTGTAGTGAGTTCATTTCCTCCTGTCAGTGCCTTCCTGCCGAAGACCACTGTGAACACACCTGGGGTCGACAAGTTAGTAATCTCAGTGAGGCAGAACACACGCTATGGGGAAGCATGGGGCATCTCCGTACAAGGGCATTAGAAAGGCCTTGTAAGATTTTGGCTTGTGTTAGGGGATTTGGGGGAGGTTTTAGGAAGCAGGACTTTGCTCTGGTTTGCCTGCAATCAGTAAGTATGGGTAATGCTATGATTGTGTATCTTAAGTCTTACCTAGAAGGGAAGACTAGAACAGCCCTGAAGCTTTAATTGGTTAAGAAGCAACAGCTACTCGCAGTCATGTTAGCCCAATAAGGGGATATTTGGTCAATTTTTCTGATTGGAAAATATTTATATTTGGTTTGTATTCAGACATGATTATGAAACAGTCTTGTTTTTAGATCCATAATTTTCTGACAGTGGCTGTGTGTGTGATGTTGATGTTCTGTGAAAGTACTTACATTCAACAGCAAAGGCTGATAGTTCAGCTCTTCAATATCAGACTGCTTTTCTCTTTCTTACCTTTTATTTAATTAATTTATGTTAGGTCATATTAGACCTTAATCAAAGCTACACTGTGAAGCAAGTATTGAAATCCTAAATGACAGCAGAAGACAAGTGGGATATATAGGTATACTGTATGTATATATATGTATACGTATAATATAGGATACATATATGTATATTCTATTAAATTTAAGATGTGGTTTCAGAAGAGCCATCTAGGCAGAACTTTCAGCTGGTTGTTGACTTCACGTTGTACATCTGTCTATCTACAGACTGTTAGAGTAGTTCAGGAAGGAGGCCGTTAGACTGAGGTGCCTCTAGTGCCTGTGGTAGCCTGCAGAAGCAAACCATAATGAAGGTGGAGTCAGTGCACTTGGATCTGGGAAAACGAAACTCAAGCACAACTAATCATAAATAGCCAACTAGATTTTCTCAAATCTGAGAAAATGAAACTCAAGAGCAACCAATCATCAATAGCCAAATAACTAGATTTTCCCAAATAAGGCAACTGTTTAAGCTGTAGCCAATTAAATAGTTTGCTTTGCTTCCATGGCTTTGCGATAAAAACCTCTGCCCTAGCCCCACCCCAGAGTGCCCCTAATCATTTGGGATTTTGATGCTGCCTGATTCAAATTGTTGTTTTCTCAAATCAGCTCTTCAGAATTTAATGCGCCTCAGCTTATCTTCCTACAGTTCTGGTGTTAGGAGTGGGACAGGAAGGAGATCCCTCGCCCCCGTGACCTCTGGGAGCAATGAGCAATCAGGTGAAGGTACCCGCTGAGCCCACTGTGCTCACTGCTTTCTCGCTGCACCTGAGTGTCAAAGGTATGCAACTTTTAGGATCCCAGCTCTGCACATTTGCATTACATTTCTGAGTTTACTTGAGCATTTCTTTCTCTAGCCTGGGTCCAGAGTTGGACTGGATCCAACTTACACTGGACTACATGCAGTGAGGCCTCAGGCTAGGTAAATTTTTTTAAGAGAATAAAAGGAAAATAAGTTCTTCCAAGTCTTAAGAGTCTGGGACTCCTTCATTTGGGACTCTGGCTAACTATATAACTAAAAGATATGACCCCCAAACTTGTGCTTTTCTGAATAAGTGGGTTGACGATAACAAAGATAATATTGAATTACAGTGGCCACAGTGGAGAACTTTTAATCTAGATAAGCTTATCCTTTTATGAAGTGTCCTAGAGAAAAAGAGGTCCTGAATTTCCCAAAAACCCTGCATTTTTTCATTGGTGTGGAGAAGCTTGTGGGAGACTGAATGAATAAAAAAATTGCCTCTTTAAAAGATTCCTTACAAAAAGGCAAATAAAAAGCTTAAACATCATATTGGTGGTGAAACTAAAGAGAACTAAACACTAACGGACTCCAACTTTTCCTTGCCTCTACTCTTCTCTCTCTAAATACCCTGAGCCTACTAATCCCTTTGCTCAGTTTGCCTGCCCTCTATGAGGATGAGCTGGAGGTTAAACAGTGCCTTTTAACGGGAGCCCTCTGCTGAGCCTGGAATACCAGATATAACCATTTATTCTCCATGGTCAAAAGTGAACTTAGGGCCATTGTCAAAGACTTTTCAAACTCTAAAGGGAATCCTCAAAAATTTAATTGAGGAATTCAAACTTCCAGTTGGAGCTTACGATTGATCTGGGATTCCACCCGCTAGATCTCTACCGATTTGTTCACATGATGTCAGTTCTTGCTGAGGTCTGAAAATGGATGGCTGAAGCCAAATGGGAGTATCTCAAGAGAGGTATTAAAGACTTGCATATTAATATTTCTGTTAGAGATGGGCCAAAATGTGCCAGAAAGATAGCTCAATAACTGGTTGAAAGTATTCCCTCAAAATACTGACTAGTCCATTATTCAGTCTTGCAAGCAAAAAAAGGACAAACCAGTCTCAGACTAAAAGACAAGGTTGGAAAATCTCTTTGTGAAGCATTCTGGGCTTTCTTTATAAAATGCAGGCAGAGAAGATGCCCTGACTTCCCAGCAGGGCAGCAGGAGGGGATCCAGGTCTTCTATGGCTCATTGTTTAGGGACCAGAATCAGGCAAGAGTGGGCCTTGAACTCCCTGGACAGGTGAGGCCATCAGTTTTGCTCTGCAGAGGGGAAAGCCATGGGCTGTGCTCTTTGTTCAAGTGCCCCTGTAGGCAGGGCTATTGGATGGGCCATGCAATTTCCTGTGTGCTTTGGTTAGGTTCCCAGGCTGGGCAAGCTAAAGGCTATATTCCACCATGAGTAGGGCTATGAAATAGTTTCCTTGCCCGGGCACATCTGGAGAACTGGCGCCAAAGCTGGTAAAGCTCTTTGTTCTCTTAACTCAAGCTGACTCTTGCTCCAAGTTCCCTGGCTGAATAGGGCCACTGGCTTTGCTCTGCAGACTACTACTCTGTCTGCCTGTCTCTTGGCTTGAGCATTGCTGCCTCGCCCAGCTTCCAGGTACTCTCACCAGCCCTTCTAGTCTTATTTCATTCAGCAGAATGCCCTCAAGGTCCACTCATGTTGTTGCAAATGGCAAGATTTTCTTCTTTGTTATGGCTGAGTATTATTCCCTTGTATACATGTACCACAGCTTCTTTATCCATTTATCCATCAGTGGACACTTAGGTTGTTTCCACATCTTGGCTATCATAAATAATACTGCTGTGAACGTGGGGGTGCACCTATCTCTTCAACATAGTGTTTTAATTTTCCCCAAATATATTCCCCAAAGTGGAATTGCTGGTAGTTCTATTTTTAATCTTTTGAGCAACTTCCATACTAT